GAGAAGGAAAAAAAAATGATCGACACACGAGAACTATGCTCTCTCGTTAAGTTTCTTTTCTAGAACAATAACAATACAATTGTTTTTCAAGTACCGTGGAATGTCATCAATCACCGGTGGGTTCCGTTTTGTAGTCGTAGCTCCAAAACCTCGGCCAAAGAAGATTAGAGAAGTCAGAAAGTTCAAGCGCAAAGCTCTTGTCTTGATGCATGCAAACATGAACAGCCAGGATTCATTGTTATGTTTAACCCCAGGGGCCGTTGTTTATTGTTAAAACCTCTGCTTACAGATCGAATATATGGTTTGACTATAGAAGTCGACTTCAGTCTTAGCGGCACCCCAGTTAACTTTTGAACTCAATTAACCCGAACATACAGTTTACTTTAGAATTAGAAAACACCAACGGACAAGGCTTGCCTTTTTTAGACATCATAACAAGTAGACTCGGCACAAAAATTCAGGTGGATGTTTACAGAAAACCGACACATACCGACCGTTATCTCGATTTCTTTTCCTGTCATCCTATCTGCCATAAAAGATCCGTTGTCAACACCTTACTGAAAAGAGTAAACAACACTCCATCTACCAACATAGGCAGACGGGAAGAAATACGGCATATTGTAAAATATGGACTGGATTGGGTTTGTAAAAGATGGACTGGATTTGTAAAATATGGACTGGATTTGTAAAATATGGACTGGATTTGTAAAATATGGACTGGATTTGTAAAATATGGACTGGATTTGTAAAATATGGACTGGATGTTTAAAACATGGACTGGATTTGTGAAACATGGACTGGATTTGTGAAACATGGACTGGATTTGTAAAACATGGACTGGATTTGTAAAACATGGATTTGTACAACATGGATTTGTAAAACATGGATTTGTAAAAGGTGGATTTATGGAAACATGATAGCATTGTTCGACTGTTTGATTGTCGAAAATAAATTTATTATTTCTGTGGCCTTTGACACTATGGAGGATACCGGCTTTCTTCTCGAAGCGTCGCTTTGAATCGGCAGATTCACCTTTTAACTTCTTGATACAAACATGACGCTGCATCTCTCTTAATGTAAAGTCAGCCAAACAGACGGTCCCAAATGTCCCGCTTCCATGCTCTTCTCTAATTTTTACAGAGCTCCACGAGAACTCTGGAAACTCAAATCGCCGTCATTAAATAATGTCATTAAATAACTATGCATGATAGAAGTTGAATAATTGTTTTTTTTTTTAGTAAAAAGTTTGGACTGAGGTTGAACAATTAATTTTGTTGAGTAAAATAAATAGCTATTGAAGTTGAATAAATATTGTTGTTGAATGAAAATAATTTTGGTTGAATATGAAAAGAAAAGGCGTGTCGTTGAACCTAAATATAAAATGTTGAATATAACTGTAAACTGTTGAATAAAAATATATTTCGTTGAGCCTAAATATTAGTTGTTGAATATAAATATGCAAGTTGTTGAATTTTGCAACATTTGGCGAATTTATTGCGCCCCCATAAATGGGAAGACCATAAACTCGTTTTGAGATATAGTTTGTTTCTGGAATAAATAAAGTATGTATGTATCGTAAGTTCGAAAACTGCGCAATTGAAACCGCGTGTGCGAGAATTCCTTGTCATGTTTTCTGCCAGTTTAAATTTATTGTCAACACTTTGATAACAACACAAAAATCAGGGTATAAGATTATGTAATCTATTTTACTGGACCTTTTTTCTGTAAAATTCATGATCACGGTACTAAATGTAGCACAAACAAGGC